AGAGAAAGTTGAGCACAAGATTAAAAGAACATCAGTCAGACATCCGAAATAACACTGGCTCACCTTCTGTTATTACTGATCATAGAGTTACCTTTGATCACAATTTTAAATGGGATGAAGCTAAAATCTTAGATAACGAAGCTTCATATGGCAAGAGACTCGTTTCAGAAATGATATACATAAAGAGACAAAAACATGGCATCAACAAAATGCAAGATACGGAATCCTTACCAGACTCGTATTCGAATATTATACATGCTTTGTCTCCCTCTTAACGTTCCTTTACTCATCCCCCTCCTCCTTCCTGTCCTATCCCCTCTTACGTTCTCCTTATTCCTATGCCTATAATTTGCTCCCTGATGTATGTCGCTCTCAGATTATTACTACACTCGTCTGCGATAACTTGTTTTCTCTGCACGATTTTCCATTTCAAACCTAATATCTTATATCTCATTTCTGCTGGATTCCACGTTGTTACGCTTATATAATATTAAGGTATTTTTTTACATTTGGCATGTTTGTATATTTTGTTTATAATCTTTATTTTAATATGATATGTTCATAGTATTATTAGATATTTTTTACATAGTTACAATTGTCCAATAAATACTATTTATGTCAAGTTTATTATAACAGGTTCCTTTAGTATTCTACACAATTTTTATTTATCTGGACATTTCTGGATACATAGTGGATCATCATTGTTTTCACACAGTTTACATTCAGCGATTTACATGTACATAATGTTACACAGAAAAATCACTTTTAATAATCTTTTTATTCTGTAGATCAAACTTATTGTTGTACGATTGAGAGAGGTTTCCATTTTAACGGAATTATTTAATATTTGTTGCGCCGTTTAAACATTGATAATGGTCGGAGTTTGACCGAAACGTACGTATGTTATTGTTTATATATTTGCGCGAAAGATTAAATATTGTATTGTTACACTTCTTCGTTTTATTTACTTCGCATACCATCTATTTTTATAAACTTAGATTATCAGACTCGTAGCCCTATTACTTTTACTAATTTATTATATTTTAAGTTATGCCAAATTATATTAACAACTAAATAATACGAAACCACATACATCGTTCAAGTCCTCTTCACCTATGTTTCTTCTTCCACTTCCTTGCATTTTCCGTAGTTTCTTGATTTTTGAAGTGCTAAGATTATTGTTGGTTGTAACCCGAATGGACCCGCCGTGACCTGTCGTTTCGCGAAGGAGCATTACAGGACAACTCTGAATGAACCTAAATGGCTCTCAACCGCTGTGCCGATGAGTAACAAAACATAATCAAGTATTCATCTCAAAGATCCCCGATTGGCTTCTATATGACTTCCGTCTAAAAAAAACACCATCAAGTACGCTGGGTTCGTTCGAAGCGACTCCGAGCAGCTCCCAAGAGACAAAACGAACAATGCTACTATGATTTTTTAAGGGATATGAATGATAGGGTTATTTTTACTCGAGCGGATAAGGGAAACGTGACGGTAGCATTGGATAGACAGGTATACATTTCCAAGGTAAATGAAATGCTTCAGGATGTGAGTACTTATGAGGTAGTTGAAAGGGATCAGACGAAGAGAATGATTACGGGCTTACTCACCTTATTAGTTAGTTGGAAGGAAAAAGAATATATATCTAATTCCACATATAGAAGTTTGTTATGTAATGATGGGATACTTCCGAGGGCCTACGCTCTTCCGAAAATACATAAGCAGGACTGCACAGTCCTGCAGTCGAAAAGGACGTCCCTTTCGTATAATAGTTTCTTCGATAAATAGCCCTTTGTATTCGTTAGCAGTGTTCCTTCATAGTATTATCATTTAAAAAATTCCTAAGACGGATAGTCATATCGATAATAGTTTCAAACTTGTTAAGGAACTTGATGGTAGGCGGTTGAGTGATGAATTTCAGTTAATGTCACTGGATGTTGTCAACTTCTTCACTAACGTTCCCATTGACTATGCGATGGACTGCATCCAAGACTATTGGCGATTCTAGAGATTGTTATTTACCGAAGGAGGAATTCATCAGAGCAGTTCAGTTTATTTTAGATTCTACTTTCTTTGTTTTTGATAGTGTTTGTGGGAGGGTGCCGCTTAATAAAGGTAATTCCACAAATTAGAATAGGTTGCTCTTTATTCGTTTTTGTACACTATATACAGAAGTACCTCTCGGTACTAATGGAAATTCTTTATGGCGCCTTGCGGCGCGTGTACGTGTGTCAGTGTGTAATTCAAGTTTCCTCGGAGTCGTCGGAGTCAGTCCCGAAGAGTTGTTGGGATAAACGTGGGTTTACCCTTCTCCTCTTCCTTCACTCTGGTGTCCTCGGCTTCACAGGTGTTGGCGGCAACGGGCTGATTGGCGGTCCTACTCCGACGTAACTGAGCTCCTCTGGTAGCGGCAGTGGTATCGATGGCAGCGGAGACCACTGGGAGTTTGTTTGCGTCTCGACGGTAGTGGATGGTCGCCGTCGAGGATCCCGGACGGGAGTACTCTTCCGCTGGAGCTCCAAAGGCACGAGTTTCCACGGGAAGAACGTAACTTCCGGGTCAAGAGGCCTCTCCTGAGGAAGTTCCCCAGGTGTGCGAGGGGGACCGGAGCGGTACCGTCGGCGTTTCCATGGCAGGGTGGTTGTCGACTACTGCCAGAAATCGCTATTACAGATGCCCAGAAGGGGCTCGCTCTGTGATCAAAGGCCCGACGTCGAGCTCGCTTCGAGGGTATACGGAGGCCCGTGTAAGAGCTCGCTCCGCAGTGCAAAGGCCCGAGGAAGAGTTCGCTTTGCGGCAAAGGCCCGAGGATGAGCTCGCTTTACGTGAAGGCCCGAGGGGCTCACTTCACAGGTTATGCCAAAAAGATGATCTTACAAGAGTCAGAGGCCCGTGGCAGAGCTCATTCTGATTCTTGTCATAAGATATCGATCGCTCTGCGGGGGGTCTTATTAATACGGATGCTGGATCCATCTTGAGTACGGGCGGGCGGTCGATATTCGTCCGCTTCTCGTCCTTTGTTCCGTTGGTTGCTCTAGGGTTTGCGTTGTCTCGTTCTTCTCCGGTTCTTCTTGCTGCAGTGTGTATGCTGGCTTCAGCCTATCTAACGATACGTTGACGGATCGCCCATTGATTCGTATCTTGAATGTTTTTTCGCCTCTGCTGAGAACTTGGTAAGGTCCGTCGTATGGGGGTTGCAAGGATCGCTTTGGATCGTCGTATCTCAAGAAAACTTGTTGTGTTGTAGCCAAGTCTTTATATATAAAGGTAGCTTTTTCCCCATGTCTTTTAAGTTTCGGCTGCAGCTCCTTCATTGTGCTTCTCAGATGTTTTGTAAAATCGTCTGAATTGTTGGTTTTGTTGTTGGTTTCGAGGAATTGCCCGGGTAATCGGATTGATTCCCATATACCATTTCGACTGGTGTAGCTTGCAAATCTTCCTTCCATGCGGCTCTGATGCCCATCAATACTACTGGTAATATTTCTGCCCATTTTTCTGTTTGATGGCTTTTAATGGCCGTTTTTAATTGTCGATGGAATCTGTCTATCATCCCATTTGCTGCTGGATGATATGCTGTGGTGCGAAGATGTGCTGACTCTGTCACTTTTACTAATTTCGTGAATAACTCGGATTCAAATTGTCGTCCTTGGTCGGTAGTGATCCGCGCTGGCGTTCCAAATCTTGCTATCCAGTGTGTGAATAATTCTCTTGCTACCGTTTCCGCCGTGATGTCTGAGAGGGGTATTGCTTCTGGCCACCTTGAAAATCGGTCGATTATTGTAAGACAATATTTGTATCCCAGGGAGGTTGGCATAGGTCCCACAATATCCACGTGAATGTGTTGGAATCGTCCCGTTGGTCCTAGGAAATTTCCTGTTGGTATAACCGTGTGTTTGAATACTTTGGCTTTCTGGCACTGCTGACAGGCTTGTGCCCACACCTGACAGTCGCATTGTATGCTTGGCCATACGTATTTCTGCTTTATTAGTTTTGTGATGGCTTTTATTGCTGGATGTGATAAACCATGCAGGGCTTGAAAAACCTGCTGTCTGAATGGTTTTGTCACGTAAGGACGTGTGACTGCTGTCGACGTATCGCAATATAGTGTCATCGTTGAGCCAGGTATTTTGATTTCCTTTATTTTGAGGGATGACTGGATACCCCCCCCCCCCCCCCCTCTAAGATTTGTTTTAACACAGTGTCCATTCGTTGCGATTTTGCCAGCTCTTCGAAGTCCGGTGCCTTATGTATCGCTTCCACCCGAGATAACGTATCTACGACAATATTGTCCTTTCCGGCCATATATCGGATCTCTGTAGAAAATTGTCCGATAAAGTCTAATGGTGGAGTCCCATGAAGCGTATTTGCCGCGTATCGCGTAACCGCGTAACCAATCAGAAGCAATCCGCCTTTTCCGCTATGTGTAAATAGATCTCTTACTGTCCCATGGTGCGTAAAAGGTAGCCTGCGTACGCCCGAAAACCAATCATGTTTCTATATTCTCCCAGAGTTCTATGATGGAAAGCCAAAAACCGAAATTCATTGGTCACGCTATTTATAAAAACGCATCATGGGACAGGAGGGATAACAAATTCGCGTACTGTTCGCACACACACATTTCTACAGATACGTATTAACTTCTATAGGACTTGTTCCGAGAGACAGGTGTCAATTAAAGAAAAATCTGTTCTTACTATACATTTATCGCCATAAATATGAATTCAAATGATTTATTGTTTTATATTTGTGCACTTCGTCAGCAAATGTATTCGAACACTGTTGATGGTTCAGCTGTACATTTAAAATTGCGAAAATTAATAGCTATTTGGTTATTAATAAAAAAAAATAAGCGAAATCCACGACCAGCTGTACGTAAATTTTGGGTTCATCCAATATTTTCTTATGAAAATCGATTACTTCAAGGAGCAAGTGATAATCTTGTAAAAGAATTACAATTCCACAATGACAATCAATTTTTTAATTACTTTCGTATGAACATGGAAATGTATAAAGAATTGTTAAATTTGGTGGAACCACTTATAGCGAAGCAGGAATGTATTCGAATGCCAATACCTGCAAACACACGTTTGGAAATTTGTTTGCGCTATTTAGCTTCTGGTGATAGCATGAAATCACTTTCTTATGCATATCGAGTTGGACACAATACCATTTCAAAAATTGTGTCAGAAACTTGTGAAGCAATCTGGACGGTGTTAAAAGATAAAGTTTTTCCATCATACAGTGAAGATACCTGGAAGAAGATTGCTAACAAATTTGAAAATCGGTGGAACTTTCCTAACTGCATAGGCGCTGTAGATGGAAAACACGTTATGATTCAGGTATTAATTTTTCAAAATTTTATTTAAAAAAATAATTTTATATTTTATAGAAAACTTTTCATTTTTCTTGTTACAGACACCTCCATACAGTGGCTCAACTTATTATAATTATAAATCATACCATAGTTTAAATTTGCTCGCTGTTTGTGATGCAGAGTGTTGCTTTATTTTCTTAGACATTGGAGCTGAAGGACGTCAGAATGATGGTGGAGTGTTTAGAAACAGCAACTTGTATAAAGCATTGAAAGAAAATTTAATAAGAATACCACCACCAGTTATTATTGGAAATAATGGACCTGTTTTACCATACGTGATTGTGGCAGATGAAGCTTTTCCTTTAAAAACGTACATGATGCGACCATTTCCCCGAAGTCAAGAACTCAATAAAACGAGAAAAATCTTTAACTACAGACTTAGTCGAGCAAGACATGTTATAGAAAATGCCTTTGGAATATTAGTAGCGAGGTGGAGAATCTTCAGAAAATCAATTATAGCGTCTACTTCTACTTGCAAAAAAATTATACAAGCAACATGCTGTTTACACAATTTTACAATAAAACGTGAGCTGCAAAAACCAGTTGTAGAACGAGTTTATTCTACAATGCACTCACATGATTGTAATGTTTCTACAGGCCTCATAGATTCAGGAAATATTGGAACCAATTTTTATTCGCAAAGTGCAAGTGTAATAAGAGATACATTTGCTGCACATTTTGAAGGTCATGGTTCAGTTGCATGGCAATGGGAAAAAGTTTTACAAAATGATTTTTAGAAATAAACTGTTATAATATATATGTCATGCAAAATTTATTTATTTATATTCGAATAATTATATTTTTTATAATACATATAATACATATTTAATAATACATATAATAATACATTCCTTATAAATATTTAAAGATAACGTTTAATTTATTCCTAATTCCTCATTTACAGCCATTGCAAGTAATTTTAATTGTAATGTAGCGCGTTTCTCATATGGCAGTCGCCGTAAAACTTCTCCTAATACTTTGAGAAATCCGTCTACTGCATCCATCTGTGGAACGGGCATATTTAAGATGTTCAATAAAAATGATTCTATAGCGGATGATTGATCATTTTCTGATAATTTTCGCTCTATAATTAGAAATGATCACAAGTTTACAAGATTAATGATTTTGTATAAGATAAATATGATGCATAGTTTCATGTTACATACTTTTAGTGTTTGTTGAATTAGGAGTCGGAGTTCGAGATGGACGATTTAGAAGCGGAGTTGGCGAAATGTGATATCATCACTTCCTACAGAATTTTCGATATTAGGCGATATTATACTCTCAACAGTAGATAAATATCCAGAAGTATTTTCGTCAGAGGTAGAAGGCTGTGATTCTATTAATAACGTACTTATTGTTCTGTAAAAAATATTAATTATTGTGAGAGAATACGATATATAATATAAATTTGCTCATTCCTTAAATGACTTACGATTCTGTTTGAAGAGTATCATCCAAAGGCTTCATTAATTCAAAATATCGATAAGAATTTTTTTAATTTGATGGTAATGCGCCAGATCCACTAGGAACATATGTTTTCATCTTTTTTCTAGCTCTCACATAGCAGTCGCGATGATATTTCCACTTTTTTTGCAGTTCTTCAATTGACATAATACCTGTAGAATAGGCAACAAAGTTTAATTTTATTACGAAGACATTCTTGTGAAATATGATATGACTCTCTGGGAAAGTTGTTACTGAAGCCATAGCTCCTAGTAATAACAGTATTGGAAAATTTATTTTAAAAAATGTATGTTTATAATACCATACCACCAAGGATATTTCTAATTTCTTCCCATAATGCATTTTTTTTTCAATTTTGATCTCTCTCGCATATCAATTCTATGATCAAATAATGGTGGCCTTTCCATAATAGCTATTATTAAATGTTCATCAATGTCATTAGACTGAGCTGATGTATTAGACTGGGCTGATGGTTGCGATTGCTGCAAGCTCTGAGTATTATTTACATTGGCGGTTCTTACTGCAAGGCAGACTTTTAATATTACTTTACTGAAGACACGTTTTAACAAGCATTATAAAAAAAATTTTGTACCGATAGTAACAATTGAGTTTTGATCAACATTAATAAGATTTTCTCTCTCATCATAATTCGCAAAGCATCGATGTTCCCATAAATTTTGACAAGCAGTATTCAGTAGCCATCCACAGTATCCGCACTTCAGTTGCTAGAAAAAATATAATTATGAAAGAGGGTTCTTTTGACCCTCCCAAACATGATCGAAACGTCTGTTTATAATTATTGTATAATTCGTGTCTATGCTTATAATACTCGTTTGTTATCGATTAATACATATTATCTGGCTCATAGCCTTTCTATTATATTAATTATTATTAATATTTTATATTCAACTATTAATATTATTAATATTACAATTAAGTTATTACATAAGTATAAACATAACCCTATGTTAGGTGCGAGGTCTACAATGTGATAATATTAATTAATATATACTTACAGAATTTGATGTATTCATTATTTTTTAATTGCTACATGGAACGAACATCGAATCTGGTCGAATACCAGTATTCCGTACAATCGAGAAAAAGAATAAATTGCTCACAAATATAAACACTAATATCCGAACATTCGCGTTCGGTGTTCGTTCGCTAGGTGAATACACGGCTTTATATGAATACACACATACATTGATAATATCGCGTTATACGCCAAAAGTAGAATTCGTATCTGCTTTTGGCGTAAAACGCGAAACTAAAACAGCGGATTGCTTCTGATTGGTTACGCGGTTACGCGATACGCGGCAAATACGCTTCATGGGACTCCACCATAAGTGTCGAGCTTGTCTTGAAGAGCTGCGTAATACATCTTGCTGGAAGGCATATATTAATGGTTTATGGTCCGTGTAGATTACGAATTTCCGCCTTTCCAATAAATGTCGGAAATGCTTGACCGCTGTGTAAATTACCAAGAGCTCTCGGTCGTAAGGGCTGTATTTTGTTTGCGCCCTATTTAGTTTCTTGCTCATGAATGCCAGCGGTTGCCATTCCCCATTTCTTTCTTGCTGTACCACGGCTCCGAGTGCGGTGTCGGAGGCGTTGGTGGTTAGCGTAATTGTGGCTTCAGTCTTCGGATGTGTCAAGAGTGTGGCCTTTGCAAGACTGTTTTTGCAGTTTTGAAAAGCTTCTTCCAATTGTGGCGTCCATTCTACAGGAGTTTTTTCTTTCATTTTCGGTCCACGTAGAATATCATGTAACACCGCTTGGTCCTTTGCTGCTCCAGGTACAAATCTTCTATAAAAGTTTATTGTGCCCAGAAATTGTCTTAATTGTTTGATGGTTTCAGGTTTTTTAAAATCTTGTATGGCTTGTACTTTTTCGGGCAATGGACGGGTCCCTTCTGCTGACACCAAGTATCCCAAGAATTTTACTTGCGGCTTTCCGAAAATACATTTGGCTGGATTTATTTGTGTGCTGTATGCATTGAGTCAAGTAAATACTTCCTCTAGATGTCTCATGTGTTCTTCCTCCGTGCTGGAAGCGATCAGGATATCGTCGATATACGCATAGCAAAAATCCAAGCCATGCAGAACCTCGTTCATGAACCTTTGAAAGGTTTGCGCCGCGTTTCGAAGACCGAACGGCATGTATCGGAACTCAAAAATTCCAAATGGTGTGGTAATTGCAGTTTTGGGGATGTCTTCCGGATGTACCGGAATTTGGTTATAAGCTCGAACCAAATCCAAAGTGAAGAAAATGGTTTTTTCATTTAGAGAGTGCGTAAAATCCTCAATGTGCGGTATGGAGTACTGGTCGGGCACTGTCCTAGCGTTGAGTTTTCTGTAATCTCCGCAGGGTTTCCAGGTGCTTTCCTTTTTGGGAGGCATGTGTAAAGGTGCTGCCCATGGACTTTTGGAGGGTTGTATAATTCCTTCTTCTAGAAGGAGATTAAATTCCGCCTTTGCTGCCTTTAATTTGTCTGGCGCTAGTCTGCGCGGTCTGCATGCCTCCGGTGGGCCGGTTGTGGTCTTGATGTAATGCATGGTTGAATGCGACCGTTGTTACTGGTGTCTCCCTGAGGTTCGCGTAATCTTGGGGAAACGTGCCAATAATTGATGATAAAGAGTGCTTCCTATCATGGATTTTACTGACGGGAGTCCTCGTCTGTTTGCGGTCCCGTTGGCTTTAAGTCCTGTTTTTGCATCCACCAGTTGACCTTGCCTCATGTCCAGGAGGAGATGAAAATAAGGAAATCGGATCCAATTATAGGGGCAGTCACGTCGGCTGCCGTAAAATGCTACGGAAAAGCACGGCGTAATCCTAGGTTAGGTTGCAAGGCGAGGTATCCGTACGTTGGTATGATAGATCCATTTGCGGCGAAAAGTACACTTGAATTGAACGGCCGTCGCCCTCGAACCAGTGTTCGTGGATAAACACTGACGTCGGAACAGGTGTCTATAAGGTATCCCGTTTTAGTTACATGATCCGTGATGAATAAGCGGCGGAGTTGCGGGCCTGAGCCGTTTGCCGCTACCAACGGACGCTCAGTTAGTTTTCCGCTTCCTTTTTGAAAGTACACGGTTGTGTGCACTTCTTAGCTTTTTCCTTGAAGCGTCGGTGGTAGAAACACATGCCCCCTTCTCCTTGTTTTTTTCTAGAACGACTTTGAGAGAGGTCACGCCTTTTTTCTTGCGCGGGTGCTCGTGAGAGTCGACCTTTTAAACTGGCCACTTGCTTAGTCAGTTTCTCAATTTGCACCATGGTTGTATACTGGCGACGATTACTGCTCTGCAGGAGACCTCGTGAATTTTGTCTGCCTGCTCTGCTACTTCATTTAGGTTATCCGCGGATCTGGTGGCCAAGATGGCTTGTAGCTGTGACAGTAATCTGCCCATCCACAGTGTTCTCAGCAGTTGCTCCAGGATGGTCGAGCTGACTAGGGCTTGCAAGTGACGCAGGAATTGCGATGGTCTGCGATCGCCCATTTCCTCGTGCTCGAGTAGTTGGCGTATCTGTGCTCCTGTGAAATCGATAGCCGTTGTATAAGCGCTTTCTTGATGTGTTCGTACTTGTCGTGCTCCGGAGGCTTGGTGATCAGGTCCTTGATTTCTTTTGCATGCTTCGTTTCTATGTGCGATAAAACGTAAGCATATTTAGTAGCATCGGCCGTAATGTTGCTCAAGGTGAATTGTCCCTCTAGTTGTGCGAATCATAGCTCGGGTTCGTCTGCCTAGAAAGGAGGTATTTTCACCGCCACGCGATGAATTTGCGCGTTCGCCTTGGCTTGCGGAGGGTTTTGTGCGTCGGTCATAGTGTACAAAGATCTGATCACGTCGGGGTCACCACTTTTGTGGAAGGGTGCCGCTTAATAAAGGTGATTCCACAAATTAGAATAGGTTGCTCTTTATTCGTTTTTGTACACTATATACAGAAGTACTTCTCGGTACTAATGGAAGTTCTTTATGGCGCCTTGCGGCGCGTGTGCGTGTGTCAGTGTGTAATTCAAGTTTCCTCGGAGTCGTCGGAGTCAGTCCCGAAGATTGTTGGGATAAACGTGGGTTTACCCTTCTCCTCTTCCTTCGCCCTGGTGTCCTCAGCTTCACAGGTGTTGGCGGCGACGGGCTGATTGGCGGTCCTATTGCGACGTAACTGAACTCCTCTGGTAGCGGCAGTGGTATCGACGGCAGAGGAGGCCACTGGGAGTTTGTTTGCGTCTCGACGGTAGTGGATGGTCGCCGTCGAGGATCCCGGACGCGAGTACTCTTTCGCTGGAGCTCCAAAGGCACGAGCTTCCACGGGAAGAACGTAACTTCCGGGTCAAGAGGCCTCTCCTGAGGAAGTTCCCCAGGTGTGCGAGGGGGGCCGGAACGGTCTCGTCGGCGTTTCCGTGGCAGGGTGGTTGTCGACTACTGCCAGGAATCGCTATTATAGATCCCAGAAGGGACTCGCTCTGTGATCGAAGGCCCGACGTCGAGCTCGTTCGAGGGTATACGGAGGCCCGTGTAAGAGCTCGCTCCGCAGTGCAAAAGCCCGAGGAAGAGCTCGCTTTGCGGCAAAGGCCCGAGGATGAGCTCGCTTTACGTGAAGGCCCGAGGGGCTCACTTCACAGGTTATGCCAAAAAGATGATCTTACAAGAGTCAAAGGCCCGTGGTAGAGCTCACTCTGATTCTTGTCAGAAGATATCGATCGCTCTGCGGGAGGTCTTATTAATACGGATGCTGGATCGATCTTGAGTACGGGCAGGCGCTCGACCGCTTGGCCCTCACGCGTCGCAAGCGCCGGGCGTCAGTGCTGGCGCGCGCTACGCGCGCGCCCGGACAGCGGCCGGGCACCTCAGGAGTGACGCTATTGTATTAGCGCCCGGCGGGTCGATTGTGGCGATTAAGCCGCTACAGTGTTATTTACAAGCAGAATTACGGGATTCCTATGGCCTCCCCGTTGTCTCCCGTCATCGCGGATCTAGTTATGCGTAAGTTGAAGAGTAGAGCTTTGTCTTTGATTCAGTTTCCGTTGCCTCTTTACTATAGGTATGTTGATGATATAATCATGGCAGCGCTTGTTTCTTCTGTTAGTTCCATTCTTGATGTCTTTAATTCTCAGCATCCTAGGCTTCAGTTCACTATGGAAGTGGGGGGTGATAGATTGAATTTTTTGGATGTAACAGTGATTAAGGATAATGAGTTGATAGAGTTCGATTGGTACCGCAAGCCAACCGTTTCGGGTAGATATTTGAACTTTTGGTTACAGCACCCGGTTTCTCAAAAAAGAGGTACACTCGCGGGATTAGTTGACAGAGTGGTTTTGCTTTCGAATCCTAAATTCCATTTTGATAATTTGTGTTTCATAATTAAAGTATTGTTACAGAATGATTATCCTTTGAGCTTTATATTTGAGAACATTAACAACCGTTTGAAGAACATTATTATGGCTAGGAAAGGATGATAGGAAGAATGTTGTCAGTGATAGAGGAAAGTCGCCGATACTGATATAGGTTTTCTAAAGTGACACCCCCTTATTTTTCGGAAACTAACTGTTGCACTTTATTAATACTAATAAAATCATGATCTGTTTAGCTAATTAAAGAAGTACAAACTCATAATTCGTAAGTTTGTGGCTTGTTTCTATATCAAATCAGCTAAAAACGAATTCTACAAATGCGAAAATAAAATTCTTACGATTTTCTTTTGCAAATTGTGAGGTTCAAATAATAGTGACTATATTATTGATAATATTACGTCATTTTAAACACTTGTAGTTTCCGAAATAAGTTTTATTTATATTATTTTTCCTCTTAGTCTTTTCATAATACGATTTTTAATTAAAAATTGGGGTGCAGCGTAAACCCCGACACACCTGCCCGTAAAACAGACCATGAGCTAACTTAATCTTTATAACGTTGCCTTATAGTGTCAAATAAGTCTATTGGAGCTGAAGGCAATCGTGCATATATGGAACAACTCTAGGAAAACTATCGCGTTACGTATTTGCATCTTGCAGAACAGCATAAAGTAAATATGCATATA